GAGAGAGAGAGAGAGGTCTATATTTCTAATAGAATTGGTTCTTATAAAATAAGACGTTGTGAAAGCACTGATATGTATCTTGAACAGTCTCTATTGTATCTTCCCCTTGCCATTGCGAATGCTCTCTCTGCAAGACTTCTTGGCGGGTATGCATTGATTCCCAAGCTCTTGAACATAAAACAGTTCATCTTCTGTGTAGTTTCCCTTTTTAACCATTTTCCATGATGTTTTAACCATGGCTATTTTCGCACACTTTACAGAACTCCTTTTATCGATGAGCGAATAGTTATGCTTGGGTATTGTGCCTTCACAGGTATGTAAATATGTTAACTTGTGTAAGATATAAGTACATCTCTGTTGATAAATTGACCTTTTTTTGTAGGTTGGTTTTTAATAATTTTCATTGACCAAAAAAAGATTTCTTGTAATTTTGAGAAGTTTTCGAGTTGGTCTGATTTCCTTTCCTTTTTAAACTAGTGGCACTCTACATGCATTTCGCCATGTCTGTGGTTCATGAAATCACTACTGCATTGGGCATCTACTGCTTCAGGTAAGTGTGGATCTATCTGCCTGGATTACATCTTTTCAATAGAGAATTTTTGACAGTTATTTTTTACTGTTTAACAGGATAACAAGGAAAGAAGCTTGAAGGAGCGATGTGCAATTTGGTTTGGTATGATTTACTTGCCACGATTGAATGTATTTGGTATGATTTTTCTTGTCAGAATTGAATGTATGGTATATTTGGCCATTACTGTGCTTAAACTCAAAAAGGGGTGTACTCAAAATTCTCTCTGTTTTCTATGTCTGGCAAGGAATTTGAGTTTACATTCCCAAAAACAGTTGATTTCATTAGAACTAATCAGGAAAGAAATCAATTTTGTCTTATGAAGTGGATGGTCTTTTACAGTTATCTGAGTTACTGGGTTCTCCTCTTATGTCATATGGAATTGCGTATCCGGCAAGAAGGTTCATTTCTCTATCACAATAAATACTAATTTATGCACATTGTGTGCAAAATAAGATTAAATGTTGGATGTATGAGAAGTTCATGTGAAATGTGGCTGCAGTATCAGTTTTTGACCCACATTATCAACACTAGCTTGCTCCACTGGAAAACCAATATCAGAGTCTTCAAGTGAAATTATCATGATGGCATGTCGCAAACCATTAACATGCGTATGTATTTGTATTATGCTTTTTGGTGCTAATGGATCTTTGGCACGTAATCACACATGCATGCTTGTACTAATTTATGCATGTATGATGCAATCTGGTATCAATAGTGTCCGACTTTAATATAATTAGTGATTGATCCCAACGTTAATAAACTCAAGTACACAAGCACTCTTGCCTTCTAAAACTTGAACTCCTACTTTGTACTCTTGCCTTCCATACATAAACTTCTTAAGGAAAATTTGCCCCTAAAATTAGTCAAAACCCCAATAATTCCTTCATCTGATAGTCTTGTTATTTGTACACGTGGTATGCAATGTTTAAGAGCCATTAGGATCAAATGAAAAATGTATATATTGAATTTTAAAAATATAGAAATCATTAAATGAATAGAGATGAAGGACAATGGTTATTGGCTGGTTACTAGGTGGGAATCTCTCTCCAAATCGTTTTCATCCCTTACTATTATTATTATTGAATTTTGGGACATTTCAATTTGAGATATAGCCAAAGATATGAGTAGCTTAGTATCCCCAAAGATTTTGCAGATCTTTTGAGAACCTCTTTAGTTCCAAGTGCCTTGCCGTTCTCTATGTCACTTATCTAATCCCTCTCTTATAATAGGATCATGCTGTCTTCAATGACAAGTGTCCTGCACTTAATATATGTAGGATAGATGCCCTAAGCCCTCTCTCATAATGGGGTTCTAATCTCGCTGAATGACATGGGCCCTGCTCTTAACTATGGCTTAATATATGTAAATTAAATAATATATATTTAGGCTGATAGATTAGAGTCCGATAGCTCTAAAACTTCTATGGAAGTCAAAGGGATTAAGTTTATTGGTGCTTTATGCAATGTAGCGGACATTGGAAACACCACTTCAAAGCCTTGTTGAACATTCGACAAACCACTTTGGAGCCTCATTTGACAATGGATTTGGAAAGATTTCTTATTTTCCTGTCAATTTTATGGAGCGGAATGAGATCCGGCACCATCAAATTAGCTCTAGCTCTCAAACTCATAATACCACATTTACATCAAAGTTCTACAAAGACAGTTGTAGTAAATGGTATTGTGGTACCCCAAATGGCATAAAGTTGTGTTGTGCACTTTTATGGGTTGTTAGGTTGGTTTGGTTCAGTCTTTTAGAAATGGGATTGTCTACAAAGAGACCATTTATCTTTTTTATATGGAGGTGACAATCATTTTCACTAATTAGATGTCAAATTGGATGATTTGGGTTGAGTCACGAAGTCTTAGAATTTTTTGTGGAAATTTGTATCGATTCAATGTCACACTTACCACCACCCATTTTGAAATTTAAGGCACAAGAATGATTGTGACCTCCATGTAGAAAAGATAAATGATCTCTTTATAGACAATGCCTTTAGAAATTGGAGAGCTAGCTTTTGCTCAAAACTTGTAGGCTATCTGTCCAAGACCAAAAAATTCTTCCCCAGTTCCAGTAGGTTTTTATCGACTTTTTTAATTTTTCTAACAAAAAACCCCAAACAAATGTTGATCTTGCTTGGGTAGTTCTGAGCCGGCTCCAAACCAATGGGTTGACTGGTTTGACCCACCATTTTGGTTTTCAAAACACTAGTTTAGTCATTTAAGTGAGATGCTGCAAGTCTACATGCTCACACATGTTTTCTTTTGCACGTGTGCATGCACAGAGAGTGAGAGAGAGAGAGAAAGGGGGCGGGGGGGGGGGGGAGGAGAGAATCAAAGGAAGAACCCATTTACATTTAACAGCAATACAGTGCAATGTATACACAATTTCCTCACATTTCTTTTCACTGATATAATACGCGGTTGCTCCTGACCACGTAGCAACACCTGGAAGGCTCACCTTATCCTAACCTCCAAATACGGCAGCCTTTAGCCTTCTTTTTAATTCCATCCTAGAGTCACAACAATCAGTAAACCAAGCGCATATTAGAACCAAAATAAATAAATAAATAAACATAGACTTTACAAGCAAGTATCAGTTCTGTTAACCATCAGTCACAAATTGGATCTTTTGTTCAAATTCTATTTAGTCAGTAGTTTCATGTAGTTTTCCAGTTTTATATTATTGGTTTAACTTTATTTATAAAAGACGGAATTATACATATGAATCATTCCTTATCTGTAAAAAGTGTGCAGAGTAGTGGCAGATCGTCAAATGGGACAAGCTTATTGGAGATCTTGTTAAAATGTGGTCTCCTTTTGAAAGTCTATGTTGCTATGTTAGCGATGGACTTAGGATCTAAAATGCATCCCAAGTAGTCTCCGTTGCATTTCTGCTTTAGTTCCATGATTTTGCAGCTCAAAAGGTTGTGCAGATCCAATGATCTGTGAATAGTGAAAATGAATGCTGATGAATGGTCGAAAAACATTAAATAGTCTTATTTTTAAGGTTCAAATTGGCTTTTTTCTTCTCTCTCTCTCTCTCTTTCCAGGTTCATGATCTTGGTAGTTGAGGTTGTCAACCTGTAAAATTTTAGATCCTCCATCAATATTTGAGATGGATTATCAAAGGAGACTGCATTTGGATACATGCGTTCGCTGATGAACCAAAACATCATGAATTGAGGATTGGATGAAAGTGGGCAAGTTTACCCCATGAGAAGTCTATCGGTGGCAGAAGATGATAACATGCCTCTGTTTTCCTCAGCTCTTCTGAGGAGGTAAGGGATGACTTTGTCAAGAGGGCCATACGGCAAGTACTTGCATACTTGGAAGCCTGCTTGCTTCAGCCCAAAAGAGAGGGTGTCTGCCATTCCCTTGAGTTGAGCAAACTGTAACCTGGGGTTCTCTCTGCTCAGTCCTAGCTCTTCTGCCTTCGCAACTGCTGCTTTCCCTGTTTCGTTTAGACCAAAATTTTAGCACTCATTGAATAATCTCTCTCTCTCTCTCTCTCAACCGAAGTTTGGAACAGAAAGGATGAAAAGTTTACCTAAAACCCAACTCAATTACCTGATTCTAGATTATGGGTAGCAAGAACAACAGATGCCCGGCCCTTCACAATGTTCTCGAGCATTAGAGAAGCACATGAATCATACACGCCATGTGTTGCTTGAATCGATGGATTGATCGGTGATGGCGCACCTAACGACCTAGCAAGGGCCACCTCCCGACTTATATATGCTCCCCTCACAAGCTTAAACCCAACTGAAATCCCCCTCTTCTCTGCCTCCCCTAACACCATCACTAACCTCTCCTTGGCATCCTTCAAATACGCTTGTATAGTACCATAAACAAGGGCATTTTCATCCTTGTTAAACATAATTGAAGCATAATTAGAGAGATAATCTATGGCTGGTTGCACCGTAGTGTACTCGGCATCGATAAGCAAGGGACTGCTAAACTCATTGCATTTTTTACAGAGTTTTTCGAGCCTTTCGTGAGCTAAGTTGAGTCTAGCCTCCTCTGTCTGGGATAGTGACTCAGGCTTGTTTGGTGTATGGTACACCGGGCTAGAAGGAGAGAGAATCGGGAGTGTGTCACGTTTCCATGGAAGGCGGAGTGTCGGGTCTTTGTGCTCCCACCTCAGGAGATCACTTACTCTTTCAAGGAGAGAGAGAGGGCAGATCGCGGTGATCTTTACGCAGGCGAAGCTCACCTGATAGTAAAAGAAATTCGTCGAAAATTAATTTTCACAATGGAAAGGAAGATGGAATCTAAACCCATGAAAGTTGGCTATGAAAATGAAAATTCCCAAGAATTATATCAAGGTATGTTTTGTTACAAAGAAAAATAAGCCAAACTTGAATTATTTAGAAAACATAAGCGTGATATCAAGTGTGACCCTTGTAAAACTCTCGTGTGTGCGCGCCTGTCGTTTCAATCCTGCTAAAGTGGACTTCTAATGTGAGAAAGGGACATAAAATCTCTTTTGTTCTCATTAAATAAAGCCAAAAGATATTCCACTCTTTCGGGAGTATAATGTCTTTTTTATTCCTCAGAGACCAGAAGTAATCTATGCACCCTTGGGAGCATAGTATACATGCTCGTAAATAAACTCAAAACACTCAAATTTCTGCATATATTGTTGATGGAATACAGCCGGTCAGGTTTTCCCTATTAATTATGGACATACTCACCTAAAAAATCACGTAAAATTGCAGGCATGGAAATCCTTTAAATTTGACCATCTTATCCTTGACCGCTATGGTTGTTAAAAAATTAGTTAGATTCAAAGCTCTGAAACATTGAAACACATTTGCCCCTTTTTTTAGCTTCAAAATTTATAGTAAATATTAGACTTGATTTTAGAGCCATGATGCAGATCTCCGATGTCCAAAGTGGTTTCTGGACAAGGATTCGAGGTGTGGCTTTACTTTATTTTTGTGAGGCCTGAGCCTCACAGAAACTGCACCCACTAATTATTTATTTAGTGTATGTAGTATTTATATGTCAATTGAAGTTTACTGCGTTGATTGACTATTAAAGAAGTCACAGGTAAAACCAAGTAGAAAGTGACATTAGGCATTGACCATGCAAGATCCCATTGTCATCGAAATTGATGGTGATGGATAGAAAGCCGAAACCGACTTGGTAAGAACATTACAAAATGGTGGGTTCTATCTCTCTATAATCACTTTCCATCATTTCAATGAGAGGTCATAATTTGTCTTACGGTTTTTAGGACCTGAATTAAGAGGATTTTGAAAATTCTTTATTATTCAGTGCGCCGCACGGCGGATTCTCTGTTGGAATCAGGAATTAAGAATTCATCCTATGTGCAACTTATTATTTAAGGGTTGTTTCTCGTTCGTAGATGGAGGTTATATTCATTCTCCCTTATTAGATATCAAATTGGATGGTTTGGGATGAGTCGCAAAATAATATGCTTATTATTTAATGGTTGTTTCTCGTTTGTAGATGGAGGTCATATTCATTCCCACTCATTAGATATCAAATTGGATGGTTTGGGAAAAGTCACGAACTTTGACATTTTTTTTTTTTTCAACTTTGTATCTATTTAATGACACTCTTACAACCCCTTTTTTAAAATTTAAAAGACAATAATGATTGTAACCTCTATGTACAAAAGATAAATAGTCTATTTGTAAACTATCCATATTATTTATGAGGAAGATTTTTCAATGCAATTTTTTTTGTTTTACTTTATTTTGTTATTTTAAATTTTTTGCATGCCTATCCAGATATCTCGATTCTGTTAATCAAGATTAGTCCAGTGGGGGGCTGGACCACATTGTGGATATGTGTTTTAAAATGTGTAATTAACATAGAAAATCGTATTTGATTCTTAAAATTTAAAATAATCCCAATATTATCATATTTAAAGTCAGGTATTTTTTTTTGTCATTTTTTCTTACTCACCTTTTGTCTCTCTCTCCTAAAATTTACTTTTTTTTTTTTTTAAGCTCTTACCTCTTTCACACTCCCTCTAAAGACCGAACTCGCCATTCTTTCTTCTCACATTCTCTCTTAGCATTCTAACTATTTTATTCACTTGCGTATTCTCTCTCTAAAAACCCAACATCATTTTTGCCTTCTCTCATATACTCTTTGGAATTAAAATAAGAGAAAAAAAAGAGAGGAAAACTAAAGAAAATAGAGAAATCATAATATTGAGGCTTCTAAATGTACGATATAAATTTTTTTTTCTTTGCTTTCTTTCTCTTCTTCTTTTTCTTTTAATTTTAGTTTTAGAGAGAGAATATGAGAGGAAATAAAAATGTGAAGTATTTTTAAAGAGAAGATTTGAGAGGAGGGGAAAATGAAATGGGTCTTAAGATAAAGAATGTGAGGTTATAAAAGAAGGAAAAAGTTTATATACGGTTCACGAATTAAAGGGCACCTCTGAAATCCTTCAAAAAAGGTTGTTTTGATGTTGGAAAAACATCTAATTGATCATCTCGACATTGAGATGCATAGGTATATAAAAAAAAAGATTTCAAGTCTTAAAAATAGTATATTTTTAAACACATTATTTGAACGGTCCATTTTTATGATTTTCATGCGTTTATAGATATGCTTGATTTAAAACATTTACATTTTTGGAGTTCAAAATTTTATAATTAAAGATAAATATAGATTCTCAAACCATCCTAAAGAATTTTTATACCAAAATTGCATCTAATAACAAAATTTGAGGTGCCCCTTAATTTGATTGTTTAAGGTTGGATTTCTAAGAAAAAATCTTGGAGAAATGGAAGAGTATGTTGAAAGAATGTGCCGGGTTTTCAAAGAAAGGATATGAGAAGGAAGAAACCATGGTAAGAAAATAAGAGATCGGAACGTGAACTCTGATTTTGTTTTTAAAAAATGGGCAAATCGACTCTATAAAAAACAGGAGGGCTAAAGTCAAAATAAAATCTCATAAGGTCTAATGTCTTAAAATGAATTTTTGGAACGCTTTTCTCCTAAAAGTCCTCAAATTTCCAGATTAATTACCCAATTTAAAACCCTGGTAAATAGGGTACTTCCTCGACACTGACGAATGGATAAGCACCTAGAAGCACATATGTGACGTGTATATGTTGACTTTATTCCTCAGGGGAAGAAGAGGTTTTATTAAAGCTTTCAATGTACATCTTTATGTTCCCCTTTATCCAATCGTCCATTTTTTAGTGGAGGGTTAAGATTGTCCCAATCATAATATCACGTTTGTACATTATTTTTTTTTATTTTTTGTTAATTCTTTTGACACCAAATTTTGAATGTTCCTTCTTATATTAAACTCGCACTAACAAAAAATATAAAAAAAATATTTTTAATAAAATAAAATAATTAAAATATTTTTGAAAGTTTTAACGGATATTTTGATCATTCTTTTTTATCGAAAAATTATTGTTAATATTTTTTATAGGTGCATCCCAATGAAAAGATGGCATGTACGAAATTTCATATTAAAAAAAAATGTATTAAAAAAACGAAAAATAAAATAAGATCGAACGGTGAATAGCTCTTTTGATAAAAAATAGAAAACTTGATAGAACTTCTATGGTGTAGAGGGAACATAGAAAGCTTTCCCTTATTACTAGGGGAAGAAGAGGTTAGACCGTTAGCAAGACTTTTCTCCTACTGTTCCCATACTAGATTTAAAGTTAAAAAAAAAAAATTATGGAAAAAGAGTCTAATTAGGGGTAACAATGGACCCCGACCTAACCGGGGACTCGAGGGGTAGTCTGGGTATAGGTCGAAAAATTGGATCCGACAGGTCATATCTGGGTCCAAGTTTGGGACCCAAATACTATTCGGATCTAAGTCTGGTAGTATTTTTCAAGTCGCAATATATAAAATATAGTGTATTTAAGTCACAATATATAAAATATAGTTAAATATAATTTAATACATTGATTTCGAGTCAGCAAATCTAGGTCAAGGTATGGAGCCGGACATGAGCCGTTGGCACCCCATGAAAGAGAGCTTTAGAGGTGGGGGCAAATATTTACACAAGAATCTGCCTAGGAATCAGTGAACCACAAAAACTAAACTCCTTCCCTCTTGGAAACCACAATTCTTGGAAAAGTTGAGATTGATTCAAATCTCCAACATGGGTTGCAAAAGATAACCCACCACCAAGACCTACTTTGTTGAAACTTGAAACTTTGAAAGAGAGAACACAAAATGGAATTTAAGAGAGAGACCAAGACCTTGTATTTTTGAAGCATTGAAAGAGAGAGAGAAAATACGAATAGAATTTTCGATAGAGAGAGACTCACTGATGAAGGTGGAAGAAAACTTGCCATCTCAACCGTTTTGAGAAACTGATCCAGATTCTCATCACAACCCAAATCATCCTCTGCATCCTCCAATCCATAATCCAAAACTCCCCTCAAACCCACACCCCAGAGCCTCTCTAGAGTCCCTCTCGCCTCCTCCATGTCCTCCCCTGCACAAAAGTGATCATACAGAGTCTTCTTTATAATCGGCAAGCCGAGTTGCCGAAAAATCGGATTTTCTAGCAAAGATGGAGATTTCATCAGCCGGATTCCGGCGTCAACAAAAGGCTCATAAGCAACAAGGCTCAAATTGATCAGAGATCTTAGCAGTTCTTTTGATGACATGCCAGAGAACAGGGCCTCTCCATTTTTGAGATCAAGAGGTCCTATGTTGGATGATGGGGTCGATGGATATACATCAAAATCGATGCATGAAGATGGTGAATATTCATTGATACCAATAGATGATGATGTCGATGATGGGTATTTGTCTATGGGTGATGGTGATGAGGTAGTTGCTTTTTGTGGGGTAGTAGCCATGTATGATGATGATGATGGAGGGGTTGATGGGCGTTTTTGGAAATCTATGGATGATGATGATGTATGATCAGCTAATTTTTGGGGTCTATGTATGCATGTTGATGATGGGTGATTAGCTACATTTAGAGGACTATTCTCTATGCATGGTAATGGTGATGGCGATGGTGATGGTGGGTGGTCTGCTAAATTTACAGGAGTGGTATCAATGGTGGAGAGAGAGCGGGTGAGAGAAAGGGCAAGTCTTGGGAGGAGGTTGAAAGGAGAGCCGATAAGTTTGGCCATGAGCTGGAGTGTAGAAATTAGGAAATGGTGCCTTGTGCAACCATTTTATAGAGAAAGGTTGGGTTCTCTTTATTTGAATATGTAATTAATAAAATATTCTTAGAATTTATTTCGAGATAACTTCTATGTACTAACCATATCTGCATATTACCAATTTTACTTATGTCGTTAAGAAGTATTAATTTATATTAATATAACTATTGGGCTTTGGGCCGGGCTAGTTAAAAGTGTGACAGCTATTCTAATCCAGAACAAAAATAAATTATAGTAAAAAACCACTTAAAATCAATGTCAACACTTAAAATCAATGTTTGACAAATTGGCTTCATGGAACAGCTTCTTATGATTGGGCGGATCAGCTAAATAAAGTTAAGCAATTATTTTTTTTATTTTCGAAGAGTTTCATCCAACCTATTAAACTAATAATCATACTAGTTTTGAATAAACCAGACTCCTCACTAGTTCGGTAAACAGTCTAATTCATTGGTCCAAGCTATTCAGATTCTAACCGGTCTCTTATCGTGTATAAATATAACCTCTTCAAACTGCAAAAATTTGTAATTAGAAATTGAAAATGTACCATACTTCTTACTTTATATGAAAGATAAAAAAAGTTCCAAGAAATAAAAATTATCTTTTATCTTTTATATATTTGCAATGAAAGATAGAAAGTTTATTTATTAGGGCTCCAATCCAACCTAAAGGAGCCCATAGTCGCTCAGGGGGACTCTTGTAAGGAGAGAAATAACTCTAATTTGTTATCATGTCAAACAAAATGTAATGATTGCACATGAACATACAACTTTTCTTAAGCATAGTTATATATCGTGCTCTCTCTGTCAACCTCTTAGGTAAAGGTTGTTTGAGAAAAGGTTTCATGCTGATCGGTATTCTCTCTATCTCTTAGGTGAAGGTTGTTTGGGAAAAGGTTTTATGCTGATCAGTACTCGATCTATTATGAGAAGGGGCCTTGATAGTGGCACCAACGAACCCTATGATGAAATCTTTGACTCCATTTTTACCAAAGGATAGAGGCCCAAATTCTCACGGACTTTTTTTATTTTTCTCTCTCTAGCATGCTTGGCTGAGAAAATTATAGGTTAAACAGCAATTGCACTTGAAAGTGCCAAGTAGAGCAAATCGATCGTTACAAGAGTGATTATTGAGTCAGTTCAGGGTGGATCTCCATAAAATTTAGAACAAAAAGTCTCAACAAATATATATACAGCCTAAGGCCTCTTATTGCTATGAAGACATAAATTGCACCAAACATTCAAAAAAGTTTGATCCTCCATCGACCCACAAGAAAAGATTCCACTCTTGGGTTAACAAAAAGCATGCTAGGATGGGATGTCTTGAATTGCATTGAGAGAGAGAGGGAGAAAGAGGTGGTCAATTTTGCTGCGCGAAGCGCATTATGCCATAGACATCTACAGCGCCAGGAGGAAATGCGGGGTCAGTCGAGCCTCGAACCGCAACCTTTGCAACGGAGGTCACATTCACAGGAGGTAAGAAGAGTGGCCCAATGAGTGGGACACGATTGAGTGGCTTTGCATGTTGGAGAATCTGGCGTATTCAAAAACAAAAGCTAATTAGATTACAACCAATGAGCTGATTCTATCAAAAGCTAAAAATGCAAGCTTGTCTCAACACTAGCCGCCCAATGAATGTGTGTGTGTGTGAGAGAGAGAGAGGGGGGGCAAATTACCATCGCCATTGGTGACCCAATAACGCCAAGAGGCAATTTCACGCTCCCAACTTGCCGGGTTCCATAAATAAAGCCTGGTCTAAGAATCACTCCTGCAGAAGATGAACACCAACAAGTGGCTTGAGAAATGATTTTTTCTTAAAGAGCCACCAAATCTAATAAGCAACCGAATTTTCAGTAAGAATAACAACATGCAAGTTGCAAAGAAAAAGATGTAGAATCAACAAGCTTTTTAAAAAATAGAATTATAGAAAAAATGAATAAAAATCCCTAAGCAATGGTATTTACTAACACCAGAATGAGAATAAGAAGCTGACCTCCATATGGGAATTTCGACATTAGTTCCACTTCTGCAGCTTTCTGCGTCGACAATATCAGATGAGAAATTTATTCGTCTTTTTAAAATCTGAGCTACAAAAGCATAAGGCTATAGAACAGGCCATCATTGATATGAAGATGCACTAAATAATTAAACATTTCTTGCAGTTATGGAGAAATATGAGGCAACTTAATTATGCTGCGCCTAGAGAACCCCATAGCCTGAACGGTTAAAACCTCTTTTGACTCTGTTATCATTCAACTACAATATCAGTAACATTTTTTTGGCAAAAAATTACATAAGAACAAGATAAGTATCCTACATAATATCATGACATGATGCCGTGTCCCCATATTTTTCAGCATTCGAGTTCCCAACTCATTTTAGCCATTCTATTTCTCTTACTATTCTCATTATGTCTTGTTTTGACGAGCAAAAATTTAAAATCCATATAGAATTGTTAAATAGTACCTTTCCCTCATAATATCCTTGTAAGATAAAATTTGCTATACTGAAATCAGCAGCTGAGATATACACAAATCTTTTCACACCTGCCAAGAGAAACATGGGAAACCACAAATAAACGACTAATTCATCTAAAATGTAATGACTTGAGTGCTCAAAACAATAGATATGGTCAATATGACTAGAGAGACATTTTAAATATACTAAGTTGGAGTGCCACCCTAGAATGGTTAAATAAGCGATCAATAACACGAAAATCACACTAGGGAGAAAACATATAAAGTTTGCCAGCTAGAAGGCAACCATAATGGTGTGGCTCAGCAGTTGATAAATAAAAAATTACCTTTATTTTAAATTGTTCAGATTTTTCTTTCTTGGACGTCATCATCATCATCATCCAAGACTTATCCCAATTATTTGGGGTTGGCTATGTGAATCCTATTCCTCTATTTATAGGGATTCATGAAAAGATGTGGCAAAGTTCCTACCAAACACAACCCATCAATTAAGTTTGATTCAAAAATTGTACAGTGGTGTATATGTTGTATATTCTCAAAAGTCTCTTCAAAAATTCAGACAAGCAAGCAATTTATGCACTAAGATTGACATCGCCCCAAATTTGCAATGAGTATACTCAGCTCAATCTATGATCTATATTATATGCATCTATTAATAAAATTGGTCACCACTAACAAATTCGCCTAGCGAAGAGAATAAGATTCGCCTAGCCACATGGAATGTAGGAACACTTTCAAGTAAGAGTACGGAGTTAGTGGATACAATGAGACGAATGAGAGTAAACATAGCTTGTCTACAAGAAACTAAGTGAAAAGAAAAAAAAGCTAAGAAAATAGATGGATATAAACTTTAGTACACAGGAAAGGATAATAATAGAAATAGAGTAAACATCAAAGATTTAGAAGATAAAGTAGTTCATGTCAAGAGAATAGATGATAGGCTCCTATTAATTAAACTTGTAGTAGGGGAAGAGATAATTAACGTAATTAGTACTGAGGACTAGAGGATAGAATTAAGAGATAATTTTGGGAGGAAATGGATGGACTAGTCCAAGACATACCAAATAGAGAAAGTACCTTTTTAGGAGGGGACTTAAACGGACATGTAGAGGAGGATAGTAGAGGATATGAGGGATACATGGGAGAACAGGTTTGGTGAAAGAAATGAGATGGGTAAGGCTATTCTGGATTTTGCTATCGTCTACGACCTAGAAATAGCAAACACTTACTTTAAAAAGCGAGATGAACATTTAATAACCTATAAAAGTGGATCACATAAAAGCTGAATAGACTTCTTCCTAATTAAGCAGATAAATCGACCATCATTTAAGGACTGTAAGGTTATTCCAAGCGAGAGTTTGACTACCGAACATAGGCTCGTGCTTATGGATGTCTGCATAAAGATATAGAAGAGAAGGGGTGAAATTAATAGGTGTCTAAGAACTAGGTGGTGGAATTTAAAAAATTAAGAAAATAAACTTATTTATGGATAAATTAGTTAAAGAAGGAAAATAAAAATCTAAACACGAGATCAATGTTATGTGGAAAGAGATGGTTGACTGCATTACGAAATTGGCAAAAGAATTTTTAGGAGAATCTAGAGAGAAAAGAAATTCTGATAAGAAAACTTGGTGGTGGAGTGATGCGGTTTAGAAGGCGATTAGCGAAAAAATGATCATATAAAACTTGGCAATGTAATAAAAATGATTAAAATTTAGAAAAATATAAAAATACTAAGAAAAATGCTAAAAAAATAGGAAGTAAGGCTAAAGTTAAGGCATATAATAATTTATACAATAAACTGGGAACAAGAAAAGGTAAAACAAATGTCCTCAAATTAGCAAAATTGAGAGAGAAAAAGTATAGGGATCTAGACCATATTAAATGCATTAAGAATGAAGATCAAAGGGTTTTGGTGAAAGATGAGGACATCAACAAAAGGTGGAGAGCTTATTTAAAAAAATATTAAATGACGAACACAATGGGAACGTAGCGGTAGAAGGAACAGTTAGCATAAATGAAAGCAGAGGTCATAGATACATTCATAGGATTAGAATATCAGAAGTGAAAGAAGCTTTGAAGAGGATGAAGATAAGACAGGCTTTAGGACCAAATGACATTCCGATAGAGGTTTGGAAGTGCATGGGGGAAATTGGCATTGACTAGCTGACCAAGTTGCTCAACAAGATGTTGAGAACAAAGAAAATGCCAGACGAATGAAGAAAAAGTACTATGGTACCTATTTACAAGAACAAAAGAGACATACGGAATTATGCGAACTATCAATGGATCAAACGTATGAGCCATACTATGAAGTTGTAGGATAGAGTGATTGAGCATTGACTAAGGCAAGAAAAACAATTAGGTATTCTGCCAAGGAGGTCCATAATTGAGGCTATTTTTTTACTTAGGCAACTGATTGAGAAGTTTAAGGCGAAAAGAAAAGACGTCCACATGGTCTTCATTGGTCTAGAGGAATCTTATAATAGAGTATCTCGAGATTTAATTTGGTAGGTGTTGGAAAAGAAATGAGTCTCCTGACACTACATTGACTTGCTGAGAGATATGTACGAGGGGGTACTAACTAGTGTACAAACAACTAGTGGAGAGACGAGTGACTTTTCAATGACAATAGGTTAACATCGGGGGTCAGCACTGAGCCACACCTTTTTGTCTTAGTTATGGACAACTTAACTAAGCACCTACAAGATAAGGTACCGTAGTATATGTTTTTTACTGACAACATAGTTTTGATCGAAGAGACCCGAAACGGTGTCGTTACAAAGTTAGAACTTTGGAGGTATTATTTAGAATCTAAAGGTTTTAAAATTAGTCGAACTACGACAGAGTATATGAATGTAAGTTTAGTAATAATAGGAGTTGAGACGGGGAAATAGTTAAGATTGACAGTTAAAAAAATACCAAAAAGAGCGCATTTTCAATAATTTAGATCAATAATCTAGATCAATAATCCAGGAAAATGGAGAGAATGAGGAAGATGACGCACATAGAATTAGAGTTGGGTGGGCGAAAGGGAGATGTGCAACCATAGTTTTATGTGATCGCCACATACCAATGAAGCTGGAGGGCAAATTCTATAAGATAGTTGTGAGCCTAGCTTTGCTTTTTGGGGCAGAATGTTGAGCGGTTAAGAAACGACATACCCATAGAATGTGTAGATGAGATGAAGATGCTGAGATGGATGAGTGGCAAGACACGAAGGGATATAATTTGAAGTGAATACCTTCAGAAGAATTTAGGCGTGGCAACAATAAGCGATAAGAAGAGAGAAAGTAGACTTAAGGCTGATCATGTGTGGCACAGATCCAATACAACACCTATTAGAAGGTACGAGTCAATTCAAGTGAAAGGCTCAAAAAAGGCAAGAAGTAGGCCTAAAAGGACATGGTTGGAAGTAGTGAGAAAAAGATATGGGGACTTACGGCTTCACCGAGGTGTCCCTTAATTGAGCAGAATGGCGAACCAAGTTTGTGTAGGCAACCCCAAGTAGTTAGGAAAAACAGGCTCTGACGATGATGATGGTCACTACTAACAAATTGGGCAAAAAAATAAAGAAGAGTTTGGACCTCCTACTTTGACAAAAGTGTCTGCCAACTCATTAGACTCTCGTTAAATATATTGGAATTCTATAACTTTACTACTTGAAAGATCAGAAATTTCATTGGATGCATTTATCAGTATCCAAGTGACTTCGTCCTTTCCACTCACCCAAGCAAGTGCACAGGCTGAACCCCTTCATAAATGATTCTACTCCACTCAGTAGTTAGTTTTTTCAGACCCACTGGAAGGACCAAGCCTCAGCATCTATTGAATTGCACTGATGCAATGAGTTGGAGAAAGTTAGCAATGTCCTGTCCTAGTTATCTCCCACTATCCCTCCTACATTGGCAACCCTAGTTACCTTTTGAAATTCCGTTAAAATTTAGCTTCAATCCATTTGTTGGGAGCACCCAGTTACTAGACTTTCCTTCTCTCTTGCATTTGCCATTCACAATGTCCAGCAATTCATTGCTGAAATTATTCACTGTAAAACCCCAAAATTGGGGTTTAGTCCTCACCCATGCTATGACGATGGCCCATGTCACCGGTTTAGCTTAAACTTGGTGGAAGTTCCAGTATGTTACAAGACTCACCCGAATCCAGTCGGACTTGGGCAAGTAACTTGCGAGTAACCCCCAGTTATGCTATAACTCTGAGTACATAAAAACAATTTTAAAAAATCCAGAAGATTTGTAATAAATATAGAAGTACTATATCATCATCATCATCATCATCATTTTAGCCTCTTCCCAATTAATTGGGGTCGGCTACATGAATCCTAGTTCTCCATTCCGTTCTATTAAAGACCATATCCTCAGCGAGGCCATAAGTTCCCATACCTTTTCGGACTACTTCCAACCATGTTCTTTTGGGTCTACCCCTTGCCCTTTTCAATCCTTCCACTTGAACTAATTCGCACCTCCTAACAGGTGTTGTACTTGGTCGGCGCCACACATGGCTAGCCCACCTAAGCTACTCTCTCATTTTATCGTCTATTGGTGCCACGCCCAAATTCTCTCGAATAGATTTATTGCGAATTCTATCCCTTCTTGTCTTGCCACTCATCCATCTCAATATCTTCATTTCCGCTACACTCATTCTATGGGTATATTGTTTTTTGTCCGCCCAACATTCCAACCCATTTAGAAAAGTTGGTCTTACTGTTGTCCTGTAGAACTTGCCCTTCAGCCTCATTGGTATACGGCGAACACATAATAGAAATGCTATATATATATATATATATGTATGTATATTGTAATATAATTTGGATGTTCTTGACAAAGACTGATGAGTGTTTTTTTCCATAATCCCTATTTTTATATTTTCATGTTTTTGGATTTTTTAAGATGTCCCAAATTGTAACTTAATTTTTTTGGTATTTTTTTAAGCTTATTTTAAGCTTTTAAGGTTATTTTTGGTTTTATTGTACTTTTATGGCCTTTCTTTTATTTTTCAAAATTTCTTATTTTTTAATTTATTAGGGCTTTTCAGCCTTGTTCAAGGCTCGGCCGAGACACCAAGGGCCAAGTCCCTTGGCCGAGGCAAGTCCTGTAGCATTGTGTTAAATTGAGCAGCAAAAAGTACATATTTGCTACACGGTCCCATTTTTACTTACTGTTCAATGGTCAAGGACCCAATGTTTGTTATGATTGAAAATAAACTTATGATTGAAAATAAACCAGATCAGAGATGATTGATACCTTGTTCTGCAGCAGCTCTAATTGCATTAATGTTTGCAGTCCCATTGATTTTGTACATATATGAATTTGAGCCAAAACCACCAACACAAGATATCTGAAAGGTTTTTCCTCAAATCAGTTAGGAAATATCACACCCATAGTGTTGGGATAAATAATAGAAAAACAGAAGAAGAATGGAAGAGTGATTTCATCATTTAGAAAGTATCACAAAATTATCCCAGACAAACCTTTAGTGGACATACTAAAAGAACAAGCTAGCTCAAATTTTATGAAAGTATAGAATTCCAAATGCTTAGCAAAAAGACAATACTAGAATACGGCATTCCATTGCAATTAAAGAGGCTACCACCAAACACAAAATATAAGGACCAATACTAAAACTTACACAAACCTTAAATTATGAAAGACCAAGAGAAACCGACAGCAAGAAGAATATTATGATGAAGAAAAGATATTAGTCCTAGATGTGATCAGTAGAGGTACAAAGATTCAAATCGATCAACCATTTAATCGATAGATGAAAAATGAACAAAAACAACTGCACATTGGGATAAGAGATGCCACAAATCATGAATTTCCTTTCTAAAACTCCAATGTTTACTTGGACAAAATATGGAAATTCATTTCCATTTCAGAAAGCTATATGACATTACCAATACCTAACAATATATCCTGCAATTTTTCATTTATTCTATAAAAATAAATGACAATGCCAATATCTAACCATATATCTCACAAATTTGCAACATAGGACCAAAAGCATAGTCCTTGGACCATGTCCTCGTGCCAAACTAACTTAGACTCCAGTCACTTCAATTTTGTTGAGAAGATGACTCGGTAAATGAGTTAAATTTGTTGGCACAAACTCAGCTTATCTGCTTTCAGATTTGAATAAAAAATGGATAGGTGAGAAATGAAAGATAATGGTCTTATTTGGAGACCTGACGGGGCATTTGTTTTGCCCCAAATTTGGAGCACATATCCTCTTGGACCCTGCAAAGAAGAACTTAAAAAGAATTCAAATCAGAAAGATGAAAAATGCTCTTTTGAGGAGGGAGAAAACGTAGTGAATATAGGCTGTCCGATTTAGGAACAACGAAAAAGAAAAAATTGGTAGATTGTCTAATAATCACCAAATGAACAACGAAAAAGAAAAAATTGGTTTTTCAGCTCTTGAAGGGCTAATAAATCTAGCTGCCAATGAAATGGGCAGTTTGAGCTAACTGAGTTCAAAAAGAAAAATTTTTGCGTGTGTTTGTTTTTCTTGTATTTTTGTCATGGGATGCTTCACCAAGTCCAAGAGAATGTATGCAAAGTTTGGGGTGAAACAAATTCCCCTAATGCCCCCAAATGGGGAATGGAGATCACTTTAGTGATCTGCCCAAGTGTTCTCCTAAGAGACTATTTCCAAGAAGCCTTTTCGAAGTAAGGCCTTGATCACGTGTGTAGAAAGACTAGATTTTACTAAAAAGAAAATAATTATTCGTTCAATTCGAATGTCCATGAAAAAGAAGACTGACATAACACACATGATGGTTCAGACATTTCCAAGACATAAAAGCAATAGATGACTCTATTACATGTCAATAGAAGTAATGACAATAGAATCCTTAGGCAAGTACTCAATAATTTGTCCCGTTGAAAAGTTACAAGATTAGCCCACTGAAATGGAGTTCAATCTTTTCCTAACCAAACTCACAATCAGTAATTTCTTTGAAAGCATCGTAGAACTGATTACATCCAATTTTTCCATTTCTATGATGAAACTAATGTAGAGCAATCACAGCTTTTTGAAACTTCAGAACGTATATGTCAGTTATATAACAATTATATCTGATCTTTTACAGGTCAGCTCCATGCCTTGCTTCACAAAAAATGAGGCAACCCTGAAGACATTTGCAGTTTTCTGTAAAAGTGAAGTAAATCACATACCACAGAAGTTACCCCATTCAGCACATCCTTCCATGTCTCCGGTACAAGAAGGTTTCCTGAATCAATAGTATGATTATCATCCTTCTAGTTAGCACTGTAAACTACTTAAAAAAATAAAATAAAAAACCCTAGGGCAAACCTTGGTGCCATATGACTTGGTCTGCCCAAGCCCCATGTACAGATGATCTTCCAGACCTGAGAAATCGAGGTAAGCATAAAGTTTGAGCATTTAATCATTCAATTTTTCTTTTTCATTTTCTTCATTTGTGTAAAACTGAAACATATATCTGACTGTATTAAACAACGATAAGAACAATAATAATAGTAATAATAACAGTTGTAATAAAGTAATAAACCACAACAGATGTCCAGATGCGTCCTCTTTAGTAATGGCTTAATCTTGAATCTTTACTCTGATTTGCATTTCACATTCAATTTTGTTTGATATATACATGGAAATAAATAAAGAAGTTCCTAAGCACAAATCACTCGAATTCAACCGAGTCCAGAATATTTAGTCCCAACACATGAGCACACCCTATATTCAAGAAAGTAAGTCTGCATTTTGCAAAAATTTGGTTTTGGATGAACCATGGTTCTTCATTGGGAGTTTGAAATGAACTGGACGTCCAAGGAGAGGAATAATAGCAAAATAAAGGGGAGCATTAAGTGCGAGGGATAGCCATGCATAACTTTAAGGAATAGAAATGCACAAAATCTTAATTGGTGGTACTTATTCTAAAATGTGCGCACATGACTAAAGATGGAAAGGAAATACCAAATATCTTCCCAACTAAGGAGTTTCAACCGTTTTCTGCCTTTTATATTAGTATTCCTTCACCAATGAAATATCCAACTAACGAAAAATTATAGTCTTACAGCAAGTCAATTGAGGAAAAGAAAATTTTATTCAGTTGAATGTTAACAATTTCCCAGTGATGATCTCACCATTGCATGTATTATAGCTGAAGAGAATATGATACCTGCTAAGACTACTGACAGATAACCCATGTTCCAAAGCTTCTCTGCACACATGTGAACCGACAAATCCATTTCCACCCAACACTAGTAGCTGGAACATATGAAGGATATCATAATCAGGAAGTGTTCAAAGCCCAGCGCTGAATAACATTCTTATACAAGAGCATCATTTGAGTTCACATTGCTTCTAACCTTCTCTGACGGAGGTGGCAAAACATTTACTGTTTCTGCTTCTTCAACTTTCACGGGTTCTTCAATATTTTTGCCAGGAATGTGATCAGAACCAGTTGAGAATAATCTTCCCTTTGTAGATAAACATGCAATACTGCTGCAACAAAAGCCAAAAATATCTAATTCCAAAAGTGAAGAAAAGCACATGCAGTCAGCAGCCAAACCAATGTTTCACAATTTCAAACGGCATAATATAAAATTTGAAAGTTGAAACAGCAAGGAACAATAAATTCAAATAATTATGTTCAAGACATGTTGCAAGGAAGTATTAAATTCTAGGTTTTTCCCTTCAAAAGAAGGGACCCAGGTTGAAACATGTTCATTACTGCCACAATGCAGTTCCGGGGATGCACCAATCAGGACCAAAGACCACCAACCTCCCTCCCTTAGTCAATTTCTTTATCAGACTTTCACATAATTTATCCCTTCTAGGTTTTTTTATGAAGATCTATTTTAAAAGAAATTTCAAGGTTCTTCCAAAAGCATGTTTCATCTAGTAAAAATAGTGAAAGATAATTGTTCAAGAGAGAGAAAATGTCTGACATGAACGATCAAATATCATCCCCCAAACATGCATGTAGTAAACCATTGCAAAGGTTTTAGCACAGATAATCATAGAAATTGATCATACTCTTGATTAAAGTTTTCTGAACTGGTGAGACATCATTGGTAGAATTGATAATAACTTCACAACCATTCCCAGCATCCTTGAAACTGCCAATACACAGGCAGGAAATTGGGAGAACTCAGAACTTATGTTGTTTGTTTTCTTCTCTCTCAGTGCAGGATCCTCTTAAAGAGGACAATTTCTCATTGGCCCCAATAAAGGGGAGAATTACAGAAGATGTTAAAGAACATGGAGCTTGGATATTGGAATATTTGAGACCTCTCCACAGCTGGTCAACAGCAACCTTCAAAGCTATAGGAGAGGTGTGCAGTAGAGTCAATGACGTTGAGTTGAGGTCGGAGGAAGGTCAACAACCAATTGTTGTCAATTTTTTATCCATCCTGAAGTTCATTGCTTTAGCTGTAAAGGGGCGTTGATTTTGGATCAATGCCATAGTCTTCTAGGGAGGCAAGTTTATAAGACTAAAAAGGAGGTCAATACTATCAGCAACTAAGGATCAGCAGCTCTCTCTGTTGCTGGTCAATGGCAGTGCCTGATTCAAAGGGGCAAGCGATGTATGAGGAGCAGATGAGTACTCTTAAGAGAGGCATGGTTCTACTTTGAGGTAGAGTTGAACCACGAAACAAAAGAAAAGATTTTAGAGAATGCTTGAGCCTAGAAATAAGAGACATGAAAGAGACAAAGTTGAGGAGTTAGAGGACAAAGTTTTGCAGCTCCTCAAAGGAGAGAAAACAAATAGAAATTGGTGGAAGCTGAGATGTGGGAAGACAATGTCATGGTGGAGGCTTGGAGGTCAAGAACCCTAACTAATATTAGTAATGTGCCTCAAGGGACCTGGGGGTGAGTGTGGGGGAAGATAAAGGTGGAGTGGATTTATCTGCGGTATCAATGAGGTTGACAACTGTGCCCACCAATGGGATGGCCATGATGGTTGTATGAGTAGGAGAACATTTGCCCTCATTGAAATGGCAGTAGTTGTCAGGTTCACAACATAGCAGCAGTGTAGAAAATGGGGAATGGAGGTTTCTATAACAAGGATTGAACCATCAATGGAGAGGAAAGAGAAGGGACTGGTAGATCGGAGCACAAGTATGTGCATCTTCTACAGATATGATGAGCCACTTCAATGTGGTAGCTTGTGTCCCAAGTAGAGGGCTAGGAGAGTGGTTGTTGGCTCTAGCACATGAGGTGGCACTGGAGGGATGCAAGGTTGAGACATTTGTGGTTCTAATCAAGAAGGATAGTATTTAGATTTCAGCATAGGAGATTAGTGCACATGGATTCTAACCCTAATCCCAGATGTGCCCGGAGCATGGAGACAACCAAGAATATTTGGGCCCCTAAATGTGAAACTAGCTACTCTTTCTAACCGATGGTGTAAATTTTAGAGTCCTTCAGGTATGGAAGTTGATCCTTTTTGGCTACGAGTCAAACCAATGACGGGTCATCGCCTTCTCCTATTCCAACTGGGGTGATAGCATTTTGATTGGTTGTCTTCCAAAGTGATTAGCCTTTTTCTTTTAGGGAAAGAGTGCTTCATCTAGGATTTCTCCCATGTTGTTGAATCCCATGGGTCTTGTGATGCTCCATTTGGGATTCAACCTCAAAAAAAAGCTTGATCTAGTGGGGAAGGACCGTGCCATTGAGAAGGCACACCCACCTTCCCTATCTTCTCTATGCATTTGGATGCACCCGTTTAAAGGACTTTCGCATCCAAAATAATGTGAGTCAAAGGGGTAACTAGTAATCACTAGCAAATTCCGGGGTAACTAGTAATCACTAGCAAATTCCAATGTTGAATTTAAACTACAGACTTATAGTGGTCCAAATAAAGAAGGGTGCCTGTCAAAATAGTTAACTAAGTGTAATATGTCAAACCAGATAATAAGGAAGATATTCGATTAGGAAGCTTATTTAGGAACGCATGCAAGCAGATTGGTTTAGTGAGAATAAAAGTAGCATATGGGATCAATTATGGGTTGTGTTTTCTTATTTCCTTTTATGTATTGTTTGATGGTTAAGGAAATGGGGCCTTGGGCTTATCAAAAATAAAAGGAAATGGGGCCTTGGGTAGTGGGCAGGGGCAGAAGAAATTGACATTGAATCTTGTAAGGAGGTAGCCTCCTCAAAGTAGCACACTTATGTTGTAAGGAGGTAGCCTCCTCAAAGTAGCACACTTATGTTGTAAGGAGGTAGCCACCTCAAAGTGGCCATCTATCAAGTGGGTTCTTGGTTTTCTAGCTCATTCTTGTTTTTTTTTTCCATTTAATTATTCCTTAATTATTTTCTATTATGCCTGAATTCTTTTCTTGGGTTCGTCTCATTTCGTATAAATGCTCTTTCTTGAAAGCGATTCTATTTGACGCATGCTCTTTGCTCTGCCCTCATTGGATCTTAGCACATCAGAAATCAAGAATCAAACCGTAAGGGTGAACTGACACCTTGCCCATCTCTAACATCCACTTCCAAACATTTCCCTTTACCAAGAGGCAAAAAATAATGAAAGCTATCAAAGAACTAGAGCAAGAGTGAAACAAGTTAAAGATGCTACCCAATAGCATTCTCGGACCTCAAAAATATACAGGCATTAATTGCTGCAAACTAGATGCCATGTCTTCTTCCTTGACCAAAGATCAAAATGATATCATGTATGTTAAACATTTTGAACTTGTTCAAGTTCTTCCTTGAACATAGTTTGAAACGCTAAGTTAGATTTCCCCAGCTTTGATGGGAATGATCCGACTAGCTAGGTTTATAGAGTTGAACAATAACTATGCATTCAATCAAGTCCTTGAGGAGAATAAGGTATGCCTTGCCTCCTAATTAGAAGAATAAGTTGTTCACTGGTAACAATGGTTTGAAAAGGTTAATGGAACTTCCCCTTGGAAAGAATTTACTACAGCCCATGTTATGGTTCGAGCCAATTCAAGGACTTCACAAGGGCATTAAAAAAGCTGTCAAACTGCCTCAGTGCATGAGCACCATACCCAATTTGAGAAATTGGTTAATCAAACAACTGGCCTGTCAAATGCCTTTTCTAACAGTTGTTTTTGCTAGTGGGCGCAAGGAAGACATTCACCGTGATGTACAAATGCTTAAACCATCATCAATCTTGGAAATGATTGGCGTTGGCATGCCTGCAAGAAGATCTTGGAAAGTTAACTATTTTCATAAAAAAGACAACAAGTGAAATTGTTGTTACCAAAACAGCCACACATCAAGAAAAGGGCCTCCGCTATAATTTTGATGAGAAGTTAAAGCCAGATGCAAAAGTTATATTTGATGAGAAGTATAGCCCTGATCATTGAAGCCAGATGTAAAAGGTATATATGTTAAGGGGACTTCTAAGAAATGGAAGATTATAAGAAATAGGAAGACAAACCTACATACAAGCCACTTCCTGATGAACTTTATAGCTTGAACCTGGTGCATACCAGCATGCACAGTTTGGGAGCTGACCGAGACTAGAGAATGTGCAAATTTCAGACTTGCGGACAAGGGTCTCCCAGGGAGGGTGGCATGTAACAGGCCAAATAAAGAAGGGTGCATGTGAAAATAGTTAATAATGAACATGTACTATGAGTTAAAAGGGAAAGATATTCACTTAGGGAGGTATTTAGGAATCCATAAATGCTGTTTGATTTAGTTTGAATAAAAGTAGCAGGTAGCATCAATTATGGGTTCTGTTTCTTATTTCCTTTCACGTCATGTTTGATGGTTATAAAAATGGGCCTTAGGTAGTGGATAGGGAGAGAAGAAATTGACATTGAGTAGAAAGGAGATAGCCCTTGAAGTGGCCATATATCTAGTACGTTCTTGATTTTATAGCTCATTCATGTTATTTACTATTTAGTTGTTTCTGAGTTAGTTTATTTTATCCTTGTATTCTTTTCATTTATCTTTGTATTCTTTTCTTGGGTTCGTCTCACAAAAGTACACTGGGATAACCCATTTTATGAGAATAGGTTTAGCAGGATTGGCGAGCGTAGAGTCTATGATGAAGATTCCAGCATTAAGCAGAAATTTGTGGAGGATTAAAGAACTCAAGGGCTTGGGCATTGCAGTGACGGTTGAGGAGATCAATGTGAGAAATTTTAAGCCAAGAGTGTGAAGAGGCTAGAGAGGCGTAGAACTACAGGTGGAAAGCTTATGAATTTTTGCGACGCTTACTCTTTTCACTTTTTATGCTTGTATTACTCAATCTTCCATGGTCTACCATATGCCTTTGAATGTTAGGTACAATATATTTTTTTTTGAGTAAATTGACTATTGTATTAATAAATAAGGAAGTACAAAGTATTGGTAGATACAAAAACAGCAGGGGGCCTAAAGCAGAACCCCTAAGGGTTCAGGAAAGCTATACAACACCATTAGGCCCCACTAAGACCCCTAAAGTAGGGGGAAAAACAGAATCTGCCTTAGCCCTCTAAGGGGGGTTGAGGCTCACACCCTCCTTGGCTAACGCATCTGCATTAGCCTCCCTATGTGTGCGTCTCCAAGCAATTTTGAGGAAAGTACATAGATGGACAATCTCAGCAAAGATGGCGTCAAGTTTCCATGGAGTGGGGGATGCTCCAGAAGCCCATGAGATAGTGTTTAAAGCGTCACCCTCCACCATTAACTGTGTTCCCCAAGTTTGATCGAAACGTCTAAACCCTTGCGCAGAGCCACAACCTTGGCATTGGTGGAATCCGACACACCAATGGGAATAGCAAAAAATGACAAAATTAGGCCTGCAGAATTCCTGAAAATGCCGCCGATGCCAAAGGGGCCAGGGTTGCCAAGGGAGCAACCATCAAAATTGAACTTCCATATATTAACATATATCCATGGTATATGCCTTTGCACTTAAGTACAATATATTAACATATACTTAATTAATCCATTCAATATGGTATTTATAGATTAGATGACTCCTCTAGAAAGCATTTTTCCTCTGGAAGTTATCTCCAAGTGTCTTAATCAATGATAATTCAAATTTTGGACTTTCCTAAGAGTAAGCCACCAATTTAAGTGGGAGGAAAACTTCCATTGACATTATAAGGAAGAAGATATCTATCACTTGACATGCAGTGAGATGCAACTAATGCCTGTATCTTAAGGAAAACAAAGCAAAATAAAAATAAAAAACACAAAAAGCTCATGTCCCCAAGTTTGAATCCTACAGGGAAACACCCAAGATATACCAAAGTTTGAAAACTTGGAGTCAGCTTTGGACTCAACTTAGTCCTAAGCTAGGTTGAATCTATAAGACTTGATCAAGACTAATATAAACTCCACCAGGTTTTAAACAAATAATTTATTCAGAATTAAGAAGACTCTGATAGGTCCCAAGAACTAGGCTAGTGCCCAAGTTGAGCCAACTCAGATGAAGATGGTTACTATTCCGGAAGACCTTAAGCATTTTTTTTTTTTTTTGAGGAAATGGTTAACTTCTTCCGAAAGACCTTAAGCATTGTGCCAACAAATAAAACAAAGGAAGGACCAAACAGCTAGAGAGAAGAGTACCCTGATATTACAAAATGAACTATAACTATAGAGAACAGCATTCTTAAATTAATAAAATGAAACCGACTCCAACTCCCCAAAGAAAATTAGAAGAAATTCTAATCTGTCGCTCTTGGGTGTTCATCATTTCAAACCAAGAAATGAAACATATATAAAAAAACCAAGTATATCCATTAAAACATCAAAATGAAAGCAGTCATTCTATCTTTTGTCTTCAGTTCAGTGGAGAAAGGTCCCTAGGAATGGAACACAAGCCACCCCCGCCACCCTAACCACCTATTTGCAAAAACACAAGCAGGAAAGAAATTCTACTTTCTAAATCCATATAAGCAAAAAAAAAAAAACCATTCCAATCCAAGCCCAGAACCCACCTCATACACCAGAACGCATCTATGAATTACAAATTTAAGCTTTTTCCTTGATGGGATTTCTCAATGATCAATAAAAAAGCAGTAAACTTCACCAGAAACGCTTACCTCCCATTACAAATACAATGGTAGATAATGCAATAGTCTCTGTTTATTAGCAATTATCATAATACAAAGGAGAAGAAAAAGAATTCCCCATAAACTTTCAACACCCATTCAAAAACACAATGGCGCCCCATGCACCAAGAACCCATTAATAAATCAACCAAGAAACAGTTTCTGAATGTTGGGTTTTTAACAATAACATGTTATAAACCCCATAACCAACCAGAAAGTAAACCAGGGCCTAGATAGAGAATATTGAAGAAAAAAATGAATACTTTACCAGAATTTAGAGCGAGAAGAATGATATTGCAACACACGAGATAGAACCATCTTCATTTGGGGCATCAGAGTGTCTATGCGAGTGACAGCGGCGAATTCTCGATCAAATGAAGCTTCTCAGTCCACTATTTCGTTGCTCTCTCTCTATTTCTCCCTATCGTTGCTCTTTCTCTCTCTTCTTTCAAAGCCAACACGCATCGGTTTTTCCTTTTCTTCAAAGTTCTGTTTCTTTTATTTTGATGGCATTTCTTGTGGAGCCTACTTGTGTGACCCTACCGTTCCAAGTGTGCGGAGCATGACGTATAATACCCAAATCTTAAGTTAAATGACGAGAACATCCTCAAACGTTTTTTTTTGTGACGAGGACATCCTTAAACTTTTTTGTTGTGAGGTGGATCATAATTATAAAAGAAAAAGTTTATATAAGGATGCAACCTTATAATGTACGACTACATATGCACCTCAAAAATCGATCGAAAAAAATAGTTTTAATGTTGAAAAATATTTTGATTGGTCATCTTGACATCGAGATGTATGACCATGAAAAATAAAAAAAATGTAAATATCAGAAATAGTGCATTTTACAACATATTATCTACACCATCCATTTTCAATATTTTCATATGTTTATAGACCTAATTGATTTTAACTATTTTTTAAATTTACAAATTTATAATTAGATATGAAAATAGATTTTGAGATAATCTTAACAATATTTTACATCAAAATTATATACCATGATAAAATTTGAAGGTTCACCTTACCTCTACAGCTACAAATGCATCTGTATGCCAACTGCACCCTTAATTATAATTTTTCCTTCTCAACATTGACATCTAGGTCAATTATTTGGAGTCGACTAGATGAATAGTGTTCTACCATTTTGCTTTATAAGATGTGGCAAAGTTTTATGTTGACTTCTCACTTAACACAAATCTCTCTAGGTTTGGGTGGTTTGGGATGGAGCAGTTTATAACTTGCCTACTAATGTCAATTAATTATTCCTTTCATCATTTTCTTCTCTATTATTTCTCATTATTTTTGGTTGTAGAATTCCAAAATCAAGACTTCGGATTACATAATAAAATTACGCCCATTGGAGTTGTTTCTTTGTTTGAATATCAAATTTAGGGATCACAACAATTTGCCAAAAAAAATTTATGTGGTTCACACTGTTGAATTAAAAGATAAAAAAATAAAAAGAAGAAGAAGAAAAAGAAGATCTAGAAATTACGAGTACAATATATTGGCAAATTTAGGGTAGGATTCAGCTAAATTTCTATAGCAGTTTCCATGATGATCTAATACTCAAAATTTATTTCTTTCCATATAAATGTCGAGGTTAACAACTTGTAAAATTTTAAATCTAAAATTCATCTTTAAAATGGATTTTTAGACTAATGCACTCATCCTTAAAAACTTTATTTTAAAATAAAAAAATCACTAATTCAAAGTTCTCAAATCTTTAATTCGTTGGCTCAAGTTTAACAATTACCCACTCATCTCACCATGGTCAAGATAGTAAACACTGATTCATGGATAATAGTGTTTTTCAATTTAACACTGGATATTGGTATTTGTTTTTAATTTAATTGATAAGCATGCAGCATGTACTTTTGTGAGAAGATTGGGGTAATCACATGCATAAGAGGTGCTTGGCACAACCAAGAGCAAGTCACTCATCTTTATGTGGCGCATAACATGATACGTGTGGCACGTGTGTTGAAACACGTGTAATTCCCATGAACTTCGAATTAGTTCTCAGTCATACCTTCTCTTCAGTCTAGAAATCATGGAGCCTCCCTTCATGTTTTAGTTTCACTTTTACTCATTCTTTATGCATACTCAAGGCACCCCACAATAGAGAGAGAGAGAGTTGCTGATATTTTGGAATATAGAGAGAAGTCTTGATGCAAATCATGAACATACACGCAAAGCATGAATATGTCTGTGTAATGGGGGGCTTGTACTTTTCAAAAGATTGATAAACCATGAATAACATGGCAAATAACATGGAATAGATGCAAATAATGAATATTTTTATATAATGTAGGCTTGTCTTTGACTTCGGTGGTTGTGAGTGTGTTTTTTTCTAGATTCAAAGATCAAAAAATTCTGTGATACATCTCAAGCCATCCAATCTAACATCTAATGGCTATGAGTAATTGTGACCTTTTTGTGACAAAGATAAATGGTCTCATAGTATATAATTTGGATTTTATAAAGTATACCACTAATATTTTTTGGGTCGAAACCATCTGGGCTAGGCATTTGCCTCAATGTTGTATCCTTACACTACTTCCATGCTTCTATCATGGTAGAGGTCCTTGATTTTTGTCCGGGGGCCAAATAGGGTGCCAAAGTACTTCTTGTTCATCTGGGAAACATCTAATCAAATTAGTAGTCTCTCCACTATGACCCTACCTTTGATAGCCATCAACACTTTCCGCCCTACAATAATGCTCTAGCATTTGCCCCATTAGGGGCAAAGCAATGAAGGTAGGGTCTTGAATAGGGGACCCTGGATGATCTCTTTAGTTTCTTACAACCCCAACTTTGCCTTGATTCTCTAATGAACTTCCATCGAAATTCAGTAGGCCCTCACTCATATGTGCTATCTAACTTGTATAACCTTGATATGATGGGAATTTTTAGTGCCCCTAAACTGATTCAAGGTGGTGGCACATTAAGTTGGGGTTGCCATCACTTGGAATTGATCACTGGGATTTTTTAGTACCCCTAAACTGATTCAAGGTGGTGGCACATGAAGTTGTGGTGACCATCACTTGGAATTTATCACCTCAAGTCCCACAAGGCACCCTCAAAGGTCCTCATCTTCCTTTCCCTTCGCAATTACAGGGTTCCAGTGCCCATTAAAGAAAATGTATACGCCTAGATCACCTTTGTCCAACTTTCACAAATCCCACAACATCCATAAAAGTCGTGCTCCATATAGAGGGGGGAGTGTGATCCATTATGAAAATAACCTTTGAATGCTTTACGGAGCAACCCACGAGAGACGAAGTAGCTATAGAACCCATGACATTGCCTCATCACCAATGGAGTGTTGGGCTTGAGGAGCTCAAGTAGCTATAAGGCCCATGGGCCAGATTGGGGCCTCAATATCAAAAAATTGGGTTGGACTCACGCCTATCCTAAATTGTTTTAGACCAAGGCTGGCCCAGCCTGAACTCAACCCTTTTCCAACCCTATTTTTGATGTAGAGAGTCTCTCCCAGTGAACTTAATGAAACCTTTTCTCTCCCTTGTAGGTTCTCCATGGGAATCATTTCATCATGGCTCCAACTTCTTTCACAACTTGGCCAGGCATGTGGAACAATCGTAAGTAACATACGAGCAATTTAGACATGGTGATCATGTCCCCTAGAGAAAGATGGCCTGCTCTCCAACGATCTAGCTTTTCTTTGGATCCTTTCTACCACAAGGTCCCATACAGACTTAGGAATCCGACCCTCTTTTGGTAGAAGGCCAATGTATTTGCATTGTAAAGATTCAAATCCTTGCCCTACGCACCATCCAATATTCAGAACCAGCTCCATCTCATTAGCCCAAATCTGGCCCGTGGGCCTCTTTTTAATATCTATATAGGGCCCAGCCTCGGACTAACCAATTTTTCTGGTAGAGGTTGGATTTGAGCCTCATCATAATTTTGGATCCGGCTCATGTCTATCCTATATTGTTTTGGCCCAGGGATGCTCTCAACAATATTGTTTTTGACATAGATTTTCTCCTAGTGCACTTGATGAAACTTGATCCCAACCTTATAGGCTCTCCGTCCTGGCTTCCTTCTTTACGACTTCGCCAGGCATGTGAAACAATCGCAAGTAATATACAAGCAATTTAGACAAGGTGTGTAATCATGTCCCAGATAAAAATGGCTAGCCCTCCCAAGATCTAGCTGATTTTTGGATCCTTTCTACCACAATGTCCCATACAACTTAGGAATCCAACCCTCTTTTAGAAGAAGGCCAAGCTATTTACCTGGCAATGAATGGATTCCACACCTGAGCATCTTGCAAGATATCAAATTAGCTCCATCTCGTAAGCCATGCCAATTAGCTTGGTTTCTCCATATTTACGTTAACTTGGTTTCTCCACGTTTACGTGCAATCTGCAGACTACTTCAAACACCTTAGGAACAACCAAGGGTTCTTCATTTGTTCTAATGTCGCATCACAAAAAAATAAGTGTATCATTTGCTTATTACGAATAGGACATTACTAGATCAATGTTTGCCATTTGAAATCCCTAGAGCATGAACAGTGAGCAAGATAGGTTGGCTAATCCACTCAAGGCCTTTCTTGTTTTTGACAAATGTGATATGCTCACATCTCATCTCAAAGGATAGAGGCATCAGAAATAGTAAGGCAAGAAAAAGACACCCGCTTTTAGTTAAACCATTCACCACCGAATTTGCCTCCTTATACACATGAGAAAAAGTAACTATACACACAGAATAAATATCCATAACCTGCAGTTGTAGCGACTTTAAGCTCCAAGGTTGCCTAATCTACTTGAGGCCTTACTAGATCCTTTGGCCATGCCAAGGTCTGAGAATTTAGCCTAAATAAAGGTGTGCAAGGACCTAGTCTTGCCCTCAGCATTGAATGCTATAGGGTATGCTGTTGACTATAATCTAGTTGTTTAGTCCCTAGTAGAGCATGCGGCATAGTCCCAAAGGGATCTTTGTTGTACGCACAAGATCCGTTAGTGTTGGCCTCATTTGGGTAAGGTAGATCTCTTATGAGATTGAAATATGCTCTAGGGGCAATTGGGTTTCAGTTCATCTATATCTCTCACCATGTCGCTTCGAGTTGTTCCAATCAGATCTACTAGTATTAACACCCCTACACAATGACTTGGCTCCCATTGTGGTGGCTCCCGTGTTGCCACGTACATCAGTTTCGCCATGCCTGGCCATAACTGCTCGACCACCGCTATGGGCTACTCTTCATACATTCTTTGACATTCTATGTCAGCATCTGTGTTTGACTTCCACCTAACCTGGTTCTTGCGCTCTTTGCACACAAGGGTGGCAACCCATCCTCTTGTGGATCTTCTTCTACGAGGTTTCTCCTCCATCTATTCCTCAACTGCATCTTTTGAACTTTGATGGTTGCCTTCTTCCATGATCTTGAACTTGTATTCCTAGTCCCCCACCCTCAAGAGGATGAAGAGATATGATTTGTCCCTTCATCTTTTGAATATTGAATATCAGGACATCCAACATGAGGAACCCTTCTAGGAGCACTGCGATGGGGGAGATCCTGATCCCATGATGTGGCTTCCATAGTGCAACGCACAATCAAATCAGTGAATAATTGGAGCCTGAGCAAGGACTTTGCTGGAAGCCTTGTAGGAGAACTCAGAACTATCTCTTTCTGAGATGACCATTATTTTGCACGAAGTGCTATTCATTACTCACAAAAAAAAGAAGAAGTGGTAGCCATTTGTTTTGAGAGGTTTTGTAGCATGTAGAATGGGATGCAACTTAGAAGTTCATTCTCAAAACAAAGAAAACACAAGAATATGGAGTAGAAGTTCATTCTCAAAACAAAGAAAACACCGGTATAATTTCAAAGAATGTTCATAAATTCGGTGATCCAAATTAAAAATCGCCTTAGGACGTCCCAGACCGCCTCTCCCCCAAATTCGCCGGTCGAACCGCTCTGTACTAGTTTTGTTAAAGAGAATTAGACAAATCAACCAGTTATCACAATTTTGAATTTACAAATATACAATGTGGGACAATCTTCCTTTTAACCCTTTCGAACATTTCATTGCTTACTCCATAGTGTTAGGAACTTGGGACGAATGAACTCTGACCAATAAAAAAAAATGTGGGGTGAATAATACTAGTTCATTGAGATATTTATAAAGAAAAAATACAATACTAATTTATGGTATATTTAAAAATAAAAATAATATTAATTTATTGGATTTTTTTTTTAAAAAAATCAATACCAACTCATGGGATAGTTTAAAGTAAAAAAATAACGGTGGCTTTATGGGTACCATTAGTCCGATCAATTTAAAATCTATTTTCGAGTTGTTCTATCTATTATTCTATATTGTACGTATGAATTTATTTATTTTTTAATTTTATTAAAATATGATTGTAAATTCATGTTTTCTAATTCTATATTTTTATCCATATTTTATTATACATTAGATCTATTTATTTGTACGGGTCATACTCTCTATTACAACAAAAAACCCAAAGCTATCATGCACTTCCTTTTTTTTCACGATAAATTTGAGTAAGAGAGATCACTTTATTGCAATGCATGGCATTTTAAATTTCATCTTGACTATAAAATGGATGTAATGGGTAACAAATACTTATACATGAGACATGCTCTCAATACTTATGTACTTTCAATAAAACAATAAAAAATTTAGTACAATAACATAATTAAAAACTATATATTTTAAAGAAACTTTAGTTAGTTTTTTATTTGTTTTTAATGTTGGATCTTGCTCATCTGGTCGATCCTCCGATCAATCGAACCCAATTTTCAGGATGGACAATCCAGATCATCGATCTGTTGTCAAACCTTGATTTCAAACAATATTCGAAAGAAAAATATCCATTAAGCGTAAATAGTAATTTTGTCTGAATTGGCTTCCACCAAAATCTCATACAATTTTTTAGGAGAAATTTGTTTGTAAGAAAAGGGTACTTGTGTAATTTTTGTATATCATCAAGACGTTTCTACAAGCCTTTGAAAAGTTACCAATTTCAGAGCCTTGAGGGCAAGCACAGGGCCACAGTGACCGCAACGCACACAGTAGAGAGAGAGAGGTTAGAGAGAGAAAGACTCGTAAAGACGAGAGGACGATTCCGACCACAAAAGGGATGGGAAAAAGCTCAGTTCAAGCCCTCTACGATCTCTGCAAGAAGACATTCACTTCCTCCACGCCGACTCCTCCTCCTTCTCACTCCATCAGAAAGCTCTCCGCTCTCATGGGTACTTTCTCTTTCTTACTCTTTTTCTCGATGATTTATCTCTCTATTCAGTTCTTTCTCTCTCTCGATTTTCCTTTTATTTTCTCTCTTTTAGGTCTTTCTTTACACAGTGGGTACTCTCTATTTCTCTCTCTGGCACTTCAACTGCTGTTCTGCCTATATCTCTTGCACTTCACCTGAAAATTTAGATAGGTAAAGCGAGTTTGTGCATTAGAGAGATTCTTTTATGATTGAATTGGGGAATTGATAGTGCTTTGTCTTTGCGTATTTTGGTCGGCTATTATACTGAATGTGCTGCATACAACTTGAATCTTTCTGGTTTTTAAAGTCATATTATCATGTTTTGGCGATATGGATCCTGCATATGTGATCTCGATTCAATACTTGCTAGGAATTTGTCAAATTTGTGGGTGTAAATAGAACATATTTTCCCTAAATGTTCCTCTAAACAAACATGGAAATTGAATTGCTGCAATGGAACTCTTTATCGTCGTCTTTGATTTTCTTTTCATTGCAGGAGTAATTATCTATCCTTTTTTGTCACTTTTAAGGGCAGAGTCCTCACTATGTTGGAGTTAGCAGTGATTATGGACCTTATGAAAGAGAGCACAACTTGGGATTGATTATTTCTGAATACCCCCCAATACTCTTAGGGCATCGGTTGCTTAATTAGCAACTATCAAAGTTAAATTTGATTGCTACCATAGCTGGAGGCTGCCATAAATCGAACTAGACAGTATCGAGACCCTGGAAAGAAGCACCTAAGCCCATAACAATTTGAAATCCAATAGGTACCAACTTTGGAAACGCTTATGTTCCTATGTGCAAAAAATTAATAGAGATGAGATATGTTCTTCAATCACTGGGATCCTAGATTCTCTACCTGTAAAATCTTCTTGCTGTGTTCCAATTGTTGAACTGGCGATTCAAAAATTGTAGAAGAGTAATTTAGCCTTTTTCTTTTCTATGCTATTGTAGAGATTTGAGAGAATGTTCTCGAGATGGGGAGAGAAAGCAAGAGTCGTAGTGGACTATATGAAACTTAGTTGTTATAATTAAAGATTGTATGGGAGTTTGTCGGAAAATCCTCTATAAATAGAGGTGTTTTTGTGTTAAGTGAGTATGAGAAAGAAGGGTGAAAAATTGTAGAGAGTGAGAGAGAAGAGAGGTTTGTGACAGACTTCGAGGTAATCTAGGAGCTCTACTCTGGCCTTTGGCCCTAATGTTTGTTTATTTTATTTGTGTTTATTAATATACATTTGTTTTAATTTTGTATGTGTAGTTTGAATTTTATTTCCTTATAATATGGAGTGTTATCTTGTTTGAAAATCACCCCTAAAACAAAAGTGTACCTCCCCCTTCTAGTTCTATTTAAGTTGTTAAACAAGATTCCTATTAAAATGGCGTGCTCTCTTTCTCTCATGATAAATAATATTTCTCAACTCCTCCTTTTAGTGCTGTGATTGATGACCAAAAAACAATTCAATGAGATGGAGTAAACCATGGAGGCACTCGTGAAGGACATAAAGCCTTGAAAGAGGAAGTTGAAGATTTGTCTATCAAACTTGAAGCAAACTAAAAAAGGAAATTTTTGAATTAAGGGGGAATGTTGAAATGGTAATTCAAAATTTTTAAAGGGTAATTTAGTCTTTTGCGTCTCTAGATTATTGTGGAGATTTGAGAGAATGTCTGGAGTTGGGGAGAGAAATAAAGAGTCATATTAGAAAATAGGAAAATGAGTTGTCATGAATTAATGGTTGTATGGGGATTTGTGGGAATATTATCTATAAAAGAGGTCTTTTTGTTTTAAGTGAGTATGAGAAAGAAGTGTGGAAATTTGTAGAGAGAGAGAAGAGAGGTTCGTGATAGACTTGGAGGTAATTTAGGAGCTCTTGCATGGCCTTTCGCTACTTGATGTTTATCTGTTTTATGTGTAGCTGTTTTATTTTTTTATGTTCAGTTTGATGCGTCTTTCCTTTAAATATGGAGTGTTGTCTTCTCTGAAAATCACCCCCTAAAAAGGTGCATACCTCCCCTGTCCATTTCTAGTTAAGTCGTTAAACAAGATTCCTATTAGAATTGCCCTCTCTATTTCTCATGGTGAACAATATTTCTCACCCCCTTCTATTAGCATGAGCTGCATGACATACCTCCTCCTTTTTGGACATTCTTAAGATTCCAATATGGTATCAGAGCTCATACTCAGATTATCTTGGGAATATTACAATTGGACTTTCTACCCGTTTCTCTTCCTCTCTCGCCCCCCCCCCAAATTTTTAACATGGAAAACAGGTTCTAACGAACCACAATCCAATTAAATGAGCAGTAAGTTATTTATGGAGGTGATGGCCGAAGGCTCCATTAATGAACAACAAATTCACTTACTTAAAGACAAAGAAGCGCCCAAAGAATAACATTCATTGCAGATACTAAGAATGTTAAAACGATAAAGGAAGGTCCCGACCAGGTATAGAGATGACCAAAATTTTGTGAATGTTACTTCTTGTTTCTTTGTAGGTTCATTAGATGATGTTTTACCATCTACATATGAATATGGTAATGGATTTCCCAGGTGGGGAAATGCCAAGGGCACAATGATCGATTTGGCCAAGATTGCTCAAAAGTGTTACTCCTATTACTTGCAAGTGGGTTTTTCATCGATATTAGACTAGGCTTGTGGTTCATTTGTTCTCTCAAAAGTATGGGTTAGATTGTGGGAAGCCTTTTAGCGTGGTCACAAAGATGACTATGTTAAAAACCATTTTTGCACTAACTAGAAGCAAAGAAAGGTGGTTATGGCCGATGGATGTGAAGAACACATTCCTCTCTGGCGGCGTAGATCAAGTTATTTACGTGATACAACCTCCAGATTTGAGTCTAAGCGACATCCCGTATGTGTAAATAAAGGATGCTCTTTATGGTTTTAAAACATGCACCTCGGGCTTAGTTTGGAAAAATTGTTGCTTGTTCTTTTTTTTTTTTTTTTGTGGTTATAAAGTTTCTAATGCCAACTGGAGTTTATTTCTTTAAAATAATGAATAAGAAAATTCCCATTATATTGTTGTATGTGGTTGACTTAAATTGCCACTGGTGAGATGTCAAAAAGCTTGAATGAAGACGTGGCCAACAACTTTCTATTCGATTTGAAATAACGGATCTTGGGGAGGACTCTTATTTCCTTGTGGTAGATTGAATCTGGGCCGATTTGATGGTCACGACTGTATCTCGTATTTGAATTTTAACTTTTTTATACAAATCTAAATCACATGAAATTTGGGGTGTCCACTCTTGTCATCAAGGCGCACCTTATAAAAATAAAAAATAATTCGAAAACTAAATTGACCAAAATACCCCTGAAAATTTTAGGGGTATTTTAGTCCATTTAATTTTTATGAGTTATTTTTTTTGATATTTTTATTAGATTCGCTTATTTTTAAGAATAGTCGCTTCAAATTTTAAGTAATTTGGATTTGTAGAAAAAAAATTAAAAGTAAAATACAAACTGCAATTGTAAATGTTGGATCGACCCAGATTCAATCTGGGCTATTGGATGTTTACTGAGTTGTGAGTTAGCAGGCTGACCTCAGACTCTCCCATATATATATTATATAATTTACATGAACAAAGGAGATAATACAAAATTGTGCGAACTATCAAGATATCAACTTATGAGCCATACTATAAAGCTCTGAGAGAGAGTTGATTGAGCAATGACTAAATCATGAAACAAGTTTATTAAAAAACTAATTTGGTTTTATGCCAAGGAGGTCAACAACCAAGGCTATTTTCCTACTTAGGCAACTGATTGAGAAGTTTAGGACGAAGAGAAAACACCTTCACATGGTCTTTATTGATCTAGAGAAAGCTTATGATAACGTACCTTGAGATTTGATTTGGTGGGTGTTGGAAAAAAAAAGAGTCTCCAAACACCATATCGACTTGGTGAGAGATATGTACGATGGAGCGATAATTAGTGTACGAACAACTAGTAGAGAGACGAATGAGTTTTCAGTGACAATAAGTCTACATCAGGGGTCAGCATTGAGCCTATACCTCTTTGTCTTAGCTATGGATGACTTAACTAGGCACCTACAGGATGAGGTACCGTGGTGCATGTTCACAGATGACATAGTTTTGATCAATGAGACCCGAAACTGCGTCAACACAAAGTTAGAAACTTGAAGGGATGCTCTAGAATCTAAAGGTTTTAAAATTAGCTGGACTAAGACAGAATTGTTGCCAAACATGCCTTAAGTTTTTTCTTAGGGCTGTCAAACATGCCTATTGCACGTCAGATTTTAAAGGGAGATCTGTGAATTTCTTTCCCAGGTCTGCATGTAAGCACTAGTATATTCATTTCTTAAACACATGAGACATGTACTCAAGTCTGCAACCACCACTACTGACCTTGCTTCGTTGGCAGCACGCGAGGTCCTCTATCAGCTAATAGAGGAGATTGATCCTTTCAAGTGGGAGGCTTGTTTTTATGGCATCCTCAGATGTTTCTTGTGGAGCAAAATGGTTAATGTTCGGTTGATGCATCCAATAATGTCTGAATTTGAAAGTTCTTAAATGAGCTGACTAGGTTGGTGTGCTTTTCTTTATCCTTTGTATTTCTTTCACTTGTGTGCGTTTTCTCGAATTTCAAGACAAAGAACTGAAAACTGGGTTCCCAATGTCTTGGTTTAATCATGTTGTTTTGGATCTACATATTTACAGGCATCAGGTCTTCGAAAGCTTTCTGCTTAAATTGGGAGTCCATTCTCCCATCTTAAACTCAGAAAAAATAATTTTATTGTCCCAATGCCATGAATTCTACTTTATGGTTTTGTTTGCAATCTTGGATTTGCTTTTTTGCATCATTTAGCTCTATATTTTATATGCATTACTCACAATGGTTGACACTCTTTTTTTACCTATTTGTTGCATCCACACTAGATCAGATTGCAAATGTAAGTTTTGACGGCTTAATTTCTGCTAAATACTTTTACAGATGCATTTGAACCTGAGGATGTTGGGCTTAGAGAAGATTCTTCTGAGGATCGTGGTCATGGATGTTTTGGACAAAATAGACTAATGAATAATCTTTCGACAAGACTAGCTCGATGGGCTCAACCAATCACATACCTGCACATACATGAATGTAATAATTTTACAGTTAAGTAATCAGTTACTTTATGCAATCAGTTACTTTTACTTTCTGACAATTACTTTTCTCATTGTGATATCATGCTTTTGGTTCTAGGTATCCTCATTAAGATAATATGTTTCCTTGACAGTTGCCTTTTGCCTTCTATATTTTATTCCATATTTCATGGTAAATATTTGTTATGAATATATGTCTTAATATTATACATGCTGGATAACAATATGATACACCACTTGTACTTTTTGGGGTTTGTATTGTCAGTTGCAATTTGTCAGATGCATTGTTCAGAATTGTTTATTGTCAAAGTTGGATTTCTCTCCTCATTGAAAAATTGATGCTAAATCAGGGAATGGTAGTCCCACATGTTCGAGGTCTAGTAGGATTTATTGTTTGGTTTTGATGACCTGCTTAAGGTGTGATGCTGGAACGAGATGTTAATGGTTGTATTTTTAGAATAAGTGTGATGGTGTTGTGATGTATAGGAAGGTCTATAATTCCTACTTTTATTTTGTCATTTTACTCTGCTTTAATCCAAAGTTTATACATCCTTCATCATTAGAAAATTGTAGGGAAACATACCAAGTCTGCTATATGCAACGAGACATCCAGCTTTTGTTCAATTTTGCTGCTGTTTGAAGGTTGTGGCTTGATTTGTTTTTCCTTCATTCTTTAATATTTAGTAATACTTAAAATTGGCGGAAAAATTACTTGAAAGTAGTTTGAATTCCTGTTGTTACTGATGTTCCAAGTGAAGTAAATCATTTCTCCATTTTGCAGATTGGTATATTTTGCCTTCCGACTTCATCAGGTATTCCTCTCCATGACCATCCTGGAATGACTGTCTGGAGCAAAGTACTTTATGGATCCATGCATGTCAAATCCTATGACTGGGTTGAGCCAGCGTGTATACGAACAGAGGCCAACTCCCAATGTAAATCTCTAAGCCTTCCTCTTGCCTCCTTCCAAAGCTACTTGATTTCGAGAAATATAGGAGCTGTCCTCAATGGTTTCTATGGAAAAAAGAGAATATCCAAATTTTTAAGATATCTTACTTTGGAGTCCAGCCCAGTCGATTTGTAGCGGTTAGTGTGGGGTCAGTGTGTTAGCGAAAGTACCAAATGTCTCAAAGTCAATTACTTTTCAACTATCTCAAGTTTCTTAAATGTTGGTTGAACTTGTTTCTTCTGATTATTTTAGTGATTGTTTCAAATGATTCATCTCCTTTCATCTGTTGCAGTGAGATTGGCAAAGTTGAGGGTTGATAATGTTTTAACGGCACCATGTGAGACTTCTGTTTTGTTCCCAAGAAGTGGTGGTAATATACATTGCTTCACTGCTATTACTTCATGCGCTGTGCTTGATGTCCTTGCTCCTCCTTACTCTGAAGCTGCTGGACGGAACTGCACCTACTACAATGATTACCCCCTTTCAAGTTTGGGTAAAGACCATAATCAATATGCCTCTTTTTCTTGTGATTAATGATTTGTGAAGTCTTATCTTTTGTACCAACTTCCTTGATTTGAGTTGTTGCAGAAAATGGATTTGATTTACACGATGAAGAAAGTTTTGCTTGGCTTGAGGAGGTCGAAGCACCGGACGATTTTTACATCCGCTCTGGCAAGTATAAGGGACCGGCAGTACAACCTTAGTGCCAATTTGCCACTGGACTTGATATTTGCAGTTTACCATCACACCTTCTATTTTCGACGGTATATTTGTTGTTCTTGTCTGATGGTCTTCTTTACTGTAATTATTTGACTTTGAACAGATGAAAGTAGAGTTCACCACCATTAATTGTAACGTAGTACATAATGATAGATCATTTGCATTAAAATTTTAGTTTCAAAAGTTAAATGTACTTCTCTTTTTATTTGGTAAATAGGGTTTTCTTTGCAGTGGTTCTACGGCAGGAACAATGCCAGCCACTATTAGTAGAACTTAAAGAATTATAGAGGAAACTTCAGTGAGTGTGATCGCTCTCTTAAGGTATGTAGCTCTAACAAACTGAACCACCCTAATCTGGCCACTGAGTTGACATGTATAGTCTTCTAAGGTTAGGGCCTTCAAACTGTACTTACCCAAAAAACCAAGAAGGAAAGGCCTTCAAACTCCACATCATATAGATTGCATTATTTGCATATATCAGTCTATTTATTCAGGCTGAAGCTTCGATCTTCTTTTGTGCCCATATAATATTTAACAAGCTGATGATTCACTCATCTACCTAATCTCAACTACCCAAAAAGAATTTCCTATGGTTTTCTTCATTTTTCAGGGTTTACTCCAATGTAGTGGCCCTTGATGTAAATGTTCTCATCTTTTGTGTCTAAAGTTTTTAATTTCGAAATTAACATGTTCAATATTCCAAATTGAAATAAAACCCCATAAAAAATGGCAAATGCAAGTATGGAGAGTGTTTAGGTAATTTTATAATGGGAAAAGTTTATATAAGGTTGCAACCTTAAAATGTAGAACTACAAATGCACCTCAAAAATCCATCGGAAAAGGTTGTTTCAATGTTGAAAAAGCCTCTAATTGATCATCTCGACATCTAGATGTATGAATATGAAAAAAAAAAGAAGAAGATTTTGAGTTCTAAAAATAGTGCATCTTGCAACACATTATCTAGACTGTCTATTTTCAAGATTTTCATATGTTTATAGATCTACTTGATTTTAACCATTTTTAGAGTTATAAAATTTTATAATTAGATATGAAAATAGATTTTCAGATAATCCTACAAATTTTTAACACAAAAAATACATGTTATGATAAAGTGTGGAGGTGCACTTTAATTGGATTGTTTATGGTTGCAACCTTATAGAAACCACACCCTTTCATAATACTTGTTAAAACAGGTGGTAAAAAATTTCTATAAGTTGTCTATATTCCATAGTTTCCACTTATTCTGAACACATGGTTATGCAGGTAATTAAATGTTTTAAATTAGCTGCTCCTTCCCTGTCATAAAATTAAAACGGCATATGGTTGTGTGATATGTAGTGTCACACAACCGGTGGTTTAAAAAACGGATCGGTGACCCGGATCGAACATCCTAAAAACCGATCCGGATCGGCGAATCGGTGATCCGGATCGGAAATCGGGCCGGATCACTCGGATTAAGCCTTAAAAAAATTCAAAAAAATTATTAAAATTCATTATAAATGTTGTATTTTAGGAATCCAATAAGAAATGGGGGTACTACATTATTAACTTTTATTGTTTTCATCGATTTATGAATATTGAGATGTTCTTTCTCTGTATGAACTTATGTTGACCATTAAATTTACATTAAACAAAAGAAATCATAGCATTATCATGAATTAATTATATAATCATATATGGACTACAATAAAGAGTTGACTAAATCGATGAAAATTTGGTCACTAAAATCTCGAATTGGCGGAAAACCTTAATCCGCTAAAAAAACCCAAATTATTACAACCTAACTAACTATAATATTATATACCAATAATTTTTTTATTATATAAATAATAACAAATCCAAATTATTTTATAATATCATCTACTTTAAAATGTATTATTGAAAACTGTAAGAAAAATAGTACACTACATGATTTATAATACAAAAATTAATAAATAAAATAAAAGATTTGGTTATCAACATAGAAATTATTAAAATGCGTATCAATTTTATTTAATTTTTTAGGTTTCTAGAATAAATTAGTGAAAGAGATTGTTAGTAGAAAGTGAGAGATTTCAAATGGTTTCATTGTATGAATCCTATCTTTAAATTAATATTACTAAATTTATGTTAAAGACCATCATGTTATAAAAATAAAAAATATAATTAGACCATTTATTCTTAGGTTGTATTAAGAAATACCTTTTATTTTTTTGACAAGAAATACTTATTGTGTTATCTTTTATTTTTTTTTACAAGAAAAATATGATACTTGTTGATTATCGTTGTTTTTTTTTTTTGACAAAATAAGAAGATGTTGTACTACATTTTTTTTTTGCTTGTTGTATTACTTTTTATTTTTTTTTACAAGAAAAATAAAAAAATGATGTTGCCAAAGTACATTTTATTTTTTTATGCCTTTTGTTTTATTTTTTTGCAAGAAATACTTGTTATATTACCTTGTATTTTTTTTACAAGAAAAATAAAAAAATGTTGTATTATATTTTTTATCTTTATCTTGAAAAGCTTTTTATTTTTTATTTTTTCTAATTTTTTACAATAGTATTTTCTGCCTTTGTTTATTTTTGTTATCAAAATTTTTTTTTATGCCTTTTGTTTTATTTTTTTGCGAGAAATACTTTTTATATTACCTTGTATTTGTTTTACAAGGAAAATAAAAAAATGTTGTATTATATTTCTTATCTTTATCTTGAAATGTTTTTTATTTTTTATTATTTAAGCTTTTTTTATAATAAGAAAAGCTTTTTATTTTTTCTATTTTATTTCAAGCTTTTTATTCATTATCTTGAAAAGCTTTTTATTTTTTATCTTTATCTCTATTTTTTATCTTTATCTTAAAAAAAATGTTGTATTATAAACGACGACGCGCGGGGTTCGAAGTCAAGGCGCCCGCGCGAAAATTCAAGGTTGTCAACCAACACCACCACATCGCCTGATAGGATTCAGTAGCTTATATAATATAATACATATTGAATCATCTTGTTTGAATGACTTTTTGTGAGAATTATCCCATGTCGAAGGATGAGAGATCCTTTGTTCTCTATAAAGTGTTGTGTACTAGTCATTTAGCCACGCGTGTAGAAATGCTATGGGGCATACGAGCGAGGTGAATTGTCACGTGTGGAGGGTTGCCACGTGTCGCTCTCGTGAGGCGGCTACGTGTAAATCCAAAACTTTTCGGTGAGACTCGCGATTCACTATTGGGAATAGTCAAGAATCGCCTGGTTATCTCTGGACACGGGCGATTCTCAATTTTTTCGTTGAACTGGCTCGGTAACTGACGATTTCCGAGTCGAACCGGGCGAGTCTGGCTCGACTCGACGAGTTTCAAACACTGTACACAACCTTTTCACCATCTGAATTGCAGTAAACCTTTTCACCATCTGAATTGCAGTAAATCACAGTAGTGATTTCTGTATGACGGAAATGTGTTTGATGAGTAAGCCCGCTGACTCTTTAACAGCCATCTTTAAGATGAATGTTGTGTAAAACACATGGGGTTAAATCATATATGAACGGTGCTAAAAAAAATCCTAAAAACAATTCACATTTGAAAGTTCATTTTTTTTTTCCTTTTTTAATTTTTATGATCAACTTAGGTTTGATGATGAATCCCTAAATTTTGGATAAAAAATATATCTTCAAGGTAAATTTTAGAAGGGGGATGCATGTGAACAATATGATGCCTCTCCATTGTCCCGGCCTTTGTTATCTTGACCATGGCCCCACCGCTGAGTGAATTGGTCCCAAACAATCCTTATCTCAAAATAGCCAGAATCGAGCTTATCTCTTTGAAAAGGGGATTATGCGTCTCTTGATTTATGAAAAAAAAGCTTACATACCGTTGAGTTTTGGCAAAAACTTTTTGCAAATTCGAACATTGTGTGATTTTTATAACATTGTGCCTTTCTTATCATATTTATGATTCATCATCATCATCGAAGTCTTATTCCAACTATCTTGATCATATTTACTAAACGATTATAAATGCACAGTATCAACAGCTGATTGAGATTATCACACATTACAAATCCTTTTGGAATACAACTTGTTATCAAACTCACACAGTCCCTTCTCTCGGAACCCAAATTCCAATATCACCTCGCACTACTTTGCACTCATCCCATTCCAAGACATTGCAGCTGTAACTTGTCAAGCCTTTGCTTTTGAGCTCCGAGGCGAAGGAACGTTTCTCCATTCCTCTCTCTCTATCAAGCCTTTGTTTTTGAGCTCTGGGGCGAAGGAACGTTTCTCCATTCCTCTCACTCTATCTCTCTGCACAAACGCCATATAAATAACGATTCACTTCATAGCAAACACCATGCACACAAACAACCTTCTTAGCAACTGAGCATAGCCACTTGTAGGCACTGGCAGTGGCAGTGGCAGGTCATGCAACTCGTTTCCATCTTTGAATCCAGGAATCGAATATCCATTAGTAATCAGTGAACTTTGCTGCCAGTGGCAGGTCATGCAACTCGTTTCCATCTTTGAATCCAGGAATCGAATATCCATTAGTAATCAGTGGACTTTGCAAGTATCTTCAATGCAAAATCCCATAACCTTTGGGCGTGAACCGGCCCACTTATTGGGTTGTAGACATTAAACATATCATCGACCTTAGGTGACCTTGGTAAGTAACTTAGGATCCTATTACTGTAAGACCAAATGCATAAACAAGAACTTTGTGGGCTAGTTATGCAATAGGAAAGGCGACTTTCTTGATACAGGAAAGATGAAAATTTCCATGCTTTGGCCACTTATGGAGTAGAAAGGGTAATTTGTCAAAATAGGAAAGTTCAGATTCTCTTGTGGTTTAGGCAAAAATTTCGCTAGTGAGGGGAGTACTTGAGATTTGGCTGAAGAAATTTTGGAAGAGGAAACCAATTCATACCACAATTTGCACACGCATTTGAACTTGCATATATATTTTGTGGTGGGTGCCAGCAAAATTGTTTGATTTCTTCCCATATGTAAGTGATCTTTGTGGCTCTTGGCTTATACTTATGCAACCAGTCACTTATTTGGCTATAAGGCACCCTTTTACTGTTGGTTTCTCTCACCCATGTTCCATCCTGTCAATGACTCTTCTCTATTTCCCCCTCTCCCATTTTGAATACCCCAAGTCCTAATCAAATAAATAATTTGTTTATAGTCGATACTCTCTGTGAGCGATTTAAGACAGTTTAGATTAGTTGGACAAACTATAGAACAAAACAAGATCAAAGTTGAGAAATAAAATTGTTTCTACTCATCAGGGCACTAAATCCTTTGTGATCCTCAATGAACCCCATGAAATTGATGTGCATGATTGTTATTGAAAACCCTAATACGATGGGATGAGGGCAATGCGTAAAAAAAGAAAGAGAAAACAAGGAATGATAATCACACAGTGAACAAATCTAAAAGAAATACCACTAAAGAACACCAAGATTCATGCATCATCTGAAATGTCATTATGTAGACAAGAAAAGAAGACCAATGGATTTTACTATCACAA